TACATATATGAATTTTTTTAATCTTAAAAGAAATGTCCTTTTTAGGCAAGGTACCAAAGTGAAATTGTACCTAATCCTCTGTCAGTCATTTCCATACTGGCAATAGCTAACTTGTAAAAACACATGGCAAGTAGTAATGTTAACTCAACTTTTGTTATTATTGCTGTTGACAAGGTTTCCCTAGTCCTAGCCCACCTGGAAGCTACTATGTGGATCAAGCTGGCCGTGATCTCACAGAGATCCTGAGGGCTGGGTTTAAAGGCATGCACCACCACACCTTGTGTAACTCTGAGCTTTTATTTTCTTTGAAGCTTTTTAGTATTTTAGCCAAGGTTGCCCTGAAACTTCTCCTCACCCTGCCTCTACCCCACAAGTGCTAGGATTTATTACAAGCATGCACCATCATGTCCACCAATCATTTTATTTTAAAATAAAACTTATTGCACATTAGAATTTACTTTGTGAGGCAGTTTTATTTTGTAGCTTGACCCAGTGAAGGGACTTTCCTGATTTTGACTTTAAGATCTTATTCTTTTTTTTAATATTTTATTTATTATTTTTATTTTTTTATGTGTATGTATGTATTGCCTATATGTAGGTAAGCGTACCCGTGTCATGCAGTGCCCGCGGAGGACAAAAGAGGCTGTCAGATTCCCTGGAACTGGAGTTATGGACAGTTGTTAGCTGGCATGTGGGTGCTGGGATTTGAACCCAGGTCTTCTGCAAGAACAGCCAGTGTTCTTAATTGCTGAGCCATCTCTCCAGCCCCTTAAGATTTTATTCTTAACAGGGCTTTTAAAGGCTGACTTAGGTTACACAGTAGGACTGTTTTAAGTAGAAATGATCTGAGTTAAAATCTGGATTCTCTGCTAACTGCAAAGTGGGAAAGTCCATTAAATGATCTGGGCCAGTCTGACCTTTTTTCTCCACTCATCTCACACTCTTAAATTTTTTTAAAAACTTTCTTTTTCTTTCTTTCTTTTTTTTTACTTTTATGTGTATGATTATATTGCCTGAATGTTTGTAAGTGCGCCCATGGAGGTCAGAAGAAGGCATCAGATTCCCTGGAACTGGAGTTATGGATGGTTGTTACCCACTATGTGGGATGCTGAGAATCAAATTCGGGTCCTCTGCAAGAGAGGCCCTGCTCTTAACTGCTGAGCCATCTCTCCAGTCACCCTTCCATCAGTCTTAATTAAAACATTGAACTAAATGTCTAAGAATATACTGTGAAAATGAGAAAAAAATTCAGCATGCCTTTCTCTATTCCCTGCTCCTTATCCACTATAAGGGCAAAATAAAGATAACTAAGACAGTGCCCACTTCTGTAACTGAGCCTGTGACCATGCTGTCTTAGATGCTTTTAAAAAAAACCCTTTGAAGGCTGGGTGTGGTGTTGCACACCTTTAGTCACAGCACTGGCAGAGGCAGGTGGATTTCTATGAGATAGAGGCCAGCCTGGTCTACATAGCAAGTTCCAGCCCCGCTGCGGCTACCGGGAGGCCCCCTCCCCATAAAAAAAAAAAAAAATTTGGCCTTTTGTATAATATGAAATGGAGTTCATCTTCTCTTCACTCATCATATTATGCATGCTAAGCTACTAGGACAAGACTTACACCCTTTCCTGACATGCTGGCCAGGAAAGGAATCTTGCCACTCAGAAACTCATTATCAATATTCTTTTATGTATGGTTTGACTTTGTAACACTTAACCAGTTCTCAGTAAAACTAGAAACAGTAGCTTTCTTCTGATTTATGTGTGTGGCAGACTTTTGGTGGAACCATAAGCTATTAAACACTGTTCAAAGGGGCACTTAATAACTACTGTATACTTGATTCTGGAATATTAAATGTACGTAGTCTTATTGTAAACATGAGGCTGCTTTGTTTCAGTTAAAGCTTTTAAAAACCTAATATGATAAGAGTTTAGGGTTTCATATAATAGAAACCACAGAGACTTAATCATTCTCTTCATTTCAGTTGATGATTAGCTGAAAGAACAGAGCTGAGATTTTTTTTTTTTTTTTTTGGTCCAGTACCTCTAGTAAACTAATTGATGCAGACATAGAACATTCCTTTATTGGAAGCCAAAGGGCTTAGAATCTAACTGCAGCACTGTTTTTTGTTTCTTTGCTTGTTTGTTTGGGATCTGCTAGAAATCAACTATCAATATTGTCTGTGTCAGATAGTTATGACTCAATGAAGCATTGGTCTGGTCTGTAATAACTGAGGCAATCTGCTTGGTCCTGCTGATTTCAACCCTGTGTGTATTCTCTCCATTACAGACCGAGGAAGAGCAGCTGGTCTGTGATAACACAGGATCCAGTTCAACTGATGACACAGCTTCCCTGGATCGGCATTCTTCTCATGGAAGCAATGTGTCCCTGCCTCAGATTGCAAAGTTAAAAAGGGCCAGGGATCACCAGAGCTCTGATGGCTTCTATAGCCATGGGGTGGGACCTGAGACTCGAGAGGTTGAGAGTGAGCCTGCTGTTTCCGGTGAGATGGAAGAGGAGGAGATGGACAGCATCACTGAAGTGCCTGCCAATTGCTCAGTCCTGCGGAGCTCCATGCGCTCTCTGTCCCCTTTCCGGAGACACAGCTGGGGACCCGGGAAGAATGCAGCCAGTGATGGAGAAATGAACCAGCGGAGGTAAGATGGGAGCCTGTATATTTCATATCTCAGTGTTTACTTTCTTTTGAAAAACTTCTGATTTAGTATTATGATTGTAAAAGATTTTTAGGAGACACCATGGTAGAGAACTCAAGCAGATGTATGTTCTGATTCCAGCTCTATAACTTACAGGTAGTTGACCCTGGGCAGCAACTTGACCATTCTGAGTTTTAATTTTCTTCTCCTCTGCAAAATATTTACTTCTCAATATATTTGTAATGCTAGCAAAATATTAATGTCATGGTGAATATTCAATAAATATGATAATGCTTGTTCTTGCCAGATTAAGTAATGAAATTCATTAATTAAGATCCTGGAGGAAATAATGCTTTGCCAATTTTTAATTAAGTAAACATGAAATCATAACATATCTAGGTTGTTCAGTGTTTCCTGAGAATTAAAGACCAATATATTTGTAATGCTAGCAAAATATTAATGTCATGGTGAATATTCAATAAATATGATAATGCTTGTTCTTGCCAGATTAAGTAATGAAATTCATTAATTAAGATCCTGGAGGAAATAATGCTTTGCCAATTTTTAATTAAGTAAACATGAAATCATAACATATCTAGGTTGTTCAGTGTTTCCTGAGAATTAAAGACACCCATTTCTTTTCTCTCTCTTTTTTTTTTTTTTTGTATATTTTTTGTTGAATTTTCATGCACAACATGTTAATCATTAGGCCCCCTTCTCCATCAGCACCTTTCCAAACCGCCCCCCACTGGATTTCATGCATTCTGTCATTTATGTTAGGGCCTGTTGAGTCAAGTTAGTGTCCCTAGACATCTCTCTGTGCAAGTTTATCCACTGGGGTCTAGTCAGCCTGTCCAGAATCACTCCCTTAAAGAAGATTAACTCTTCCTCACTCAGCAATAATCAGCTGCCAGTAGTTCTTCGGCTGAGATTGGGGCCTACTGCCCTTTCCCCAGAAACTTTCCATGAGTTGTTGGCCAGGGTAGTCCAAGACATTCATTTCTAATGCAGAAAATTTAATGAAGTCTAAACTATCAGTGTCTTAATTCTCAAGAGGGCACAAAACTCATGATGTACCATAAGATTGTTGGCATTTTTCCCATGTGTCATACAGTTGTGGGGACTTTTACAAGGATGACCTGGTTTTAGTTTTTCAGTTTGGCAGCAGCCTTTAAGAAGTTAGTTTTGGCGCTGGAAAGATAGCTCAGCGGTTAAGAACACTGGCTGTTCTTGCAGAAGATCTGGGTTTGAATCCCAGCACCCACGTGGCAGCTAACAACTGTCCATAACTCTAGTTCCAGGGGATCCGACAACCTCTTCTGTCCTCCGTGGGAATTGCATGACATGGGTGCACTTAACCTACATGCAGGCAATACACAGATACACATAAAATAAAAATAATAAATAAAATATTTTTTTAAAAGTTAGTTTTGGCTTCTGGCCTCTGAATTGAATTTAAACAGGTTCCTTTAACGCTAAAGAACAAGTGCATCTGGTGAGTTATCAGGATGTGCTTATTCCAGAGCTACTTTCTTAATGAAGAGAACCTTTCTTAGCAAGTAAGCAAAGATGCTGATTGTTACTGTTTTGTTTTGTTGTTTCTGTTTTTTGAGATAGGGTCTTGCTATATATCTCTGGCTGGCATAGAACTCTGTGTAATCTAGCATGGCCATGAACTCACAGTAGTCTTCCTGTCTTTCAGTTGCTGGGATTGTCTCACTTAGTTACTGACAGTTCTTTTGCTGTTCGTTTGTGTGGGCGTTTTTTGTTGGTGGTGGTGATGGTGATAGTTTTTTGTTTTGTTTTTTGTTTTTGTTTTTTAGAGCCAGGGTCTCCCTGTAGCTCCAGCTAGCCTAGAACTTGCTATATAGACCAGACTGGCCTTGATCTCACAAAAATCTGCCCACTTCTGCCTCCTGGGATTAAAGGCACACAACCACCATGCCAGCCTCATTCTTTTTCAAATTATTATTTAATATAGATGAGCTTTTGCTTGCATGTATATATGTACACCACATGTGTGCCTGGTGCTCTCGGAGGCCAGAAGAAGGTAATGCATCTCCTGGATCTGGACTTATAGACAGTTGGTAGCTGCCATGTAGATGTTGGAAACCAAAACCAGGTCCTCTGCTGTTGCTTGTAACTGCAGAGCCATCTCTCCAGCCCTGTCATTAAAAAAATATTAAAATTAAAAAATTTCCCTTTATTTTATTATTATTTATTTTTGAGACAAATGCTCACTATGCAACCCCAGGTGGCAGATTTGCAGTTTACTGTGTAGACCTAGCTGGCCTCCAACTCATGGAAATCCGGGTGTTTTTAATCCCCACTCTCAGGAGACAAACATGTACCACCACCAGCTTCTTTTGTTCAATTGATCAGCAAGTGTGTTTTGAGCATTCTTTATAGGTCAGGTACTTTCCTAGGTTAGAGAGACACAGAAATAAACAAAATATTAGTCCCTGCCTTCATGAACCTCAGCCTCAAACTCTATTCTTTACTAGATGGTCAGTCTTTTCAGATTCCTTTCATAACACATCATCTTAAATAGTTTCTTAATTCTCTCATGAGTCAGGTGTTATTTTTCCCATAGTTACAGAGAAGAAGGCCGCTACAGGTACTTTACATCCTTTTCAGTAGATCTAGGTTTCTGGTCTTTTAGACAAATGCCCTTTATGTAATCCTATATTATTTCATAATGTAGTCTGAAAAATAAGCAGTGTTCTTTATCTTGCTGTGTTGCAGTCTATACATTTGAAATCCCAAGTTACGTAAAAACTAATTTCTAAAGATTTTCCTTCCCAGTTTCATAAATGCTGTTCTTTTTTATTTTTAAAAGATTGATTTTTAAAAATATTTTATTTATTATTTTTATTTTATGTGTATGTGTGTATTGCCTGCATGTATGTGAGTGCACCCGTGTCGTGCAATGTGGTGGAGGTCAGAAGAGGGCTTCGGATTCCCTTGGAGCTGGAATTAAGGGCAGTTCGTAACTGCCATTTGGGTGCTGGGAATTGAACCTGGATCCTCTGCAAGAGCAGTCAGTGCTCTTAACCATTGAGCCATCTCTCCAGCCCCAAAAGATTGATTTTTTAAAATTTATGTCTGTGTGTGCTTGCATGAGTTTATGTGTACCATGTGCATACAGGTTCCCACAGATGCCAAAAATTGACATTGGATTCCTCTGGAACTGGACTTACAGGCCTTTGTGAGCTGCCTGATATGGGCACTGGGACCCAAACCCAGGTCTTGTGCAAGAGCAGTAAATGCTTTTAACCACTGAGCCATGTCTCCAGCCCCATGCTTTTCTTGTTTAAAACGTTTTAAACATCAGCATAGAGAATGAATCCTACAGCCAGAAATTACTCCCTGAAGCAAGGAAAACTTGATAGGACATCCTTGTCTTAGCTGATAAAAAAACCAAGGAATGAGTGTTTAATTCATAAATAATTTTTCTGTATGACTTGGTATGGATACCTTTGTCATGACTCATTTCAGAGCTTCTTATGTATGGATCATGTAGCTTGAATGAGGAAATTGAAATGCAAATTTAATGATTTGCCCAAAATTACGTGGTGATCTTAGAATCTGAAACTGAACCCTGTTCCCTCTTTGTATTTTCACCCTGTATGTCATAGAATTGTGTGTTTGAACTTAATGTAAAGGATTATCTAGCATCACATTCTTTTAATGCCTTGAAATCTAATGGAGTATGAGTTAGTTTTTAATGGTCACTTTAATGGTTAAAACTATTGTATTACTTATACATTATGTAATTCAAATTTTAAAATCTGAAGGAAACTTCTTCTAAAGTTTTGATTGCACTTTTTTTCTGATCTAATATATATTTATGTATTTACTCCCTTAAAAGACAAAGTCCCATTATGTATCCCCAAGTGGCCTGCAACTTACTATGTAGACCAAGCTATCCTGGAACTCAAAGAGATCCGCCTGCCTTTGCTTCTGCCTCTGGAGTACTGAGATTAATGCGTGTACCACTATGCCCTCCTGATCCAGTTACTTTTTTTTTTTTTTTTAGAAGAAGCATTTCATTACAGCTTTAACATACTCAATAACAATTTCCAGAGCAAAGATAGATGTCTTACAAAAGTGGCTATAAAATTTTTAGGTTCACAGTTGAATTAATACAGGTACACAATATTGAACTCAATTTACTAATCTTCATAACTTGTCATCTGATTAACTCCTTGGAGTAGGGAAGGAATAAAGTGGCCCTTCTTAGAGGGCCTTTTGTCAGACATGTTGGGTTCTGATATTTTGATCATTCTATATTCTTTGAGTCTCTGCTCTCCTGTGCTATTTGTCTTTGAGGAGTATCTCTTTCCACGGGATCTCTGTATGTTTCATGTATTTGTGTATCTCATGTGGTTCATCTACATTACTGACCTCTCCCATCATTCATTTTCAGTTCAATGCGAGTTCTTGGGGATGTTGTCAGGAGACCTCCCATTCATAGGAGAAGGTACAGAGTTCACTAAATTGATGAACTAACCATATCATCTCTGAGCATTTACTAACAAGCATCTCATTCTGCTTACCACGATTGGACAACATATTTTTAAACAGTCATTCAGACTAATTCAGACAAATGAAATAAAGGTGCTTTTTAACTCTTTATGTCCTTCCTGTGGGAAATAGTTTCTTTAAAGTTTCTTTTTCTAGTCCTAAATTTAAAATACATACACACACTTACTTACTGGCTCAGTTGCTTTGATACTAGGGTCCGAATTGATTTTCTCTAGGAGAATTCAAATTTTTTTCCAGGTTCTACCTAACTAATGGACCTTCAAGGATATTTTTTCTTCTGTCTCCAGAAAAAAAGAGAATAGCTAGAAATATGAATGTGTTCTCTCACACAGGTTCTAAAATACTTTCAACATTCTTTAATATGATGAAAGTTACTAGGCCACCTAGAGTTCCCATTCCGTTGTTGACAGTCATTTCAGAAAGCAAGTTCTTGTGAGCTGATACCTGTTTTTGAGTTATTATTTGTCGAGTAAAATACTGAAGCTAATATTTTTAAGCTGAGAAGCTATTTCTATATAAAAAGTGCTGATTTATTTCATGTTTTTCACATACTGTTTGATTTCATTGTTGAGCAATATTACTGACCTTTTTTCCTTCCATTGTATAGAAAACAATTAGAAATAAAAAAAATATGGTTCGAGTCCTAATAATTTCCCATGTAAAGGGACATTTACAAAGATTTTTATCTATTAGCAGAAGCTTTGTAGGAAAGAAGGCCAAATTTTGATTTTCCTACTTCATTTTCAAGTGTATACATCCTTTAATTCTATTTTTAGGGGAAAAGTTGAGCTTAAATTCTAACATTTTTCATGAACCTCAGATGATCATGACATCAGTTAGGTTGTTCTTACGGGGAACAAGTTAAATGTCCTTTTCAGTAGACAGAATGTAAAACCTTTGGAAATATATTTGCTGGGTTCTCTAAGTAAAAGCTCTGCATTATAAACTTACTGAAAGTATGTGCTTGATGACATGGTGAAGGATAGCAAGTTGCTTGCAGAGTACAGCCCACGTTAGGGACATCAAATGTCATAACTGAAGTTAGAGTTTTATTCTTGGTGAAAATTATTTTATAGGAAGAACATGATGCATAGTTTAAAAGTTTATAAAATTGAAACGTGCCAACAAGTATTAAAAAGGGACATTGTTTTAAAAAAAATATAGACTTAAATTTCAAAGCTAAAGAATCTCAAAACTACTTAATTGGGGATAGAGAGATGACTCAGCGGTTAAGAGCACTACCTGCTCTTGCAGAGGACCTGAATTTGTTTCTCAACACCCACATGGTGGCCCACAACCATCCGTAACTCCAGTTTCAGGGGATCCAATGCCCTCCTCATACCTCTAGGCATTGCACAACACGGGTGTATTTATATACATGCAAGCAATACATTCATACACATTAAGAAATAAAAATAAATTATTTTTTAAATACTATTTAATTATGAAAGGAACCAGGAAAAGCTTAAACCATCTTCAGTTTCCTGGTTCCTATGACGCCATCATGTTTCTGTTTTTGTCCTCCTTCATCTTACTTACCCAATCTTCCACATCATTATCATATTCTGAGATACTTAATAATTATCTACAAAGAGATTTTTTTTTTTTTCTTTTCTTTCTGAGACAGGGTCTCCCTGTAGCTCCAGCTGTCCTGGAACTATGTAGACCAGGCTGGCCTTGAACTCACAGAGATCTGCCTGCCTCTGCCTCTGCCTCCTGAGTGCTGGGATTAAAGGTGTGTACCACCACGCCCAGTTTTAAATAGATGTATTTGAGCATGTTGAAAATTAATCTAGGGGCTGGAGAGATGGCTCAGCAGTTAAGAGCACTGAGTGCCCTTGCAGAGGACCCGGGTTCAGTTCCCATCACCCACATGGCAGCTACGCACTGTCCTTAACTCCAGTTCCAGGGGAATCCGAAGCTCTCTTCTGACCTCTGTGGCATTGCACGACACAGGTGCACTCACATACATGCAGGCAATACACTCATACACATAAAATAAATAAAATATTTTTAAAAATTAATCTAATAAAAATGCATCATCCATAAAATGAAAAGTATATCACAGATTTGGATTAAATCTTTTTAGTTCATAATGTCCTTTGAAGTACTTATATCCAGAATGTGTCAATAATTCTACCAACTCGGTAAGGTCTCAGTTAAAAAAAATGTGCAAGGACTCCAGCACATACTTCACAAAAAGATGCCAGTTAGCAAATGGGATTGTTTTTAAGTATGATGATTTGTCAGTGTGTATTGAATTACTGATTTATCACATTCTGTTTTAATAAGAAATTGGTAATGTAGGTACCAAATTGGAAGTTTAAAAATTAAGTTAATAATTTCAAAGAATAGACATTCATAACCTTATGAATGTTTTTGTAAAATATGTCTTCTGCGCACACAAGAAAGTTTAAAGTTAGCCAAATCTTGCTTACCAGACAGGAGATGCCTCAAGCTGTGTGTTTCTGCTTGTCAGCTTTATGCTATTGTTTTAATCAAATTTGAAATGTTGTATACCATTCAGATTATTTTTAAATGATATTTTGAAGATTTCCCTTTAGAAGAGATGTGGAGAAACTCCTACTGTTTTCCTTGTCTCTTCTTCTCTTCCCCCACATCCTACCAGAGTTGTTAGATGTCTTGGAGATTGAGACTGATTGTTTTTGCAGCAGTGTTTTTATTATTGTCCAGAAGCAAGCAAGCAATCTCAATCAATTTCTCTCTCTTCCCCCTGCCCCCCCCAAAAAGCTTATCACTTAGAATTCCAAGACCCACAAAAATAGCAGTATTTTTTTAGATTACAGGTTCTATTAATTTGAATTGGTTTTTTTTGTTGTTGTTTGTTTGTTTTTAAGCCTAATGTATTTACTTTGCCTTTCCAACTCCAGATTTTTCTCCCTTGTGGTATTGGATGGGATCAGTAAGGAAGTAGACTATCAAATGAATGTTTTTTGAATCTTAGGAAAGTGGGTACAGAGTTAAAATTTAAATGATACATTTTCATCTTAGTACCATAGAACTCTAAGAAAAAAAGAAATCTGTATATTATTGTTAAACTACAAGAGAAAGTAATGGCCTTTCTCATATTTGCCTTATTTTTACCAGAAAAGCATAATGAGTAGCTTTTAAAGATGAGTATGAGTGTTGACTATTATATCAGGTTTATGAATTGCCTGGCCTATCTAGATCCTTGATTGAAACACATGAAATAAAAAAATAGTGATGACTCAGTGAGGCCAGCAGTGCTTTTAGTTTAGGCCTAGAGGTAAACTGCCCTTAGGGGATGTAGGAGCAGTGGTAGATACAGAGGAACTTTGCCTCCACAGTGGAATTTGGAACACCTCTGGGAATTTCTGCAGAGGAAACCATGAGTGGTCTATGCTCTTTGCCAAGGGATTAGTAGAAGAAATTCTTGGGTTTCAGGTTGGAGTGGTTATCCTATAAAGAGCTCACATAGACTGTTTCAAAACAAGTGTCTGAGCAGACATCAACTGAATAATGTTAAATTTCTATGGTTCTTTTTCTCATCTTTTTCTAAATTCTCAATGTTATGTTCCTAATTTTTTTGGTGATTACATAAGTCTATCTCTGTGTCCTTTCTTTTTAAACTGAGTAACACCAAAACTGTTTCCCCTTTTCTCCCTCCATTTCTGTTTCTGCTTTTGATGTCATCTCCAGTATGAGCTGGTGTCCCTCTGGTGTACAATACTCGGCTGCCCTGAATGCTGACTTTAATTTAAGAAGGTACAGTATTATTACATGTCCAGCCACCAAATGGGGAACCATAAATTGTGACTTCTAACTGTGGGCTAAGAACTGGCTTCTGAGTGGCTGGCCTGCGTTGTCTGTGAGCATAGCATCCTGCTGCCTTTGCTGTGAGCAGCAGTGTTACGTAGGAGCTGAACAGTAATCCCTGTGCTGCATCATGTTTGTCTCCAGTGACAGTGGATTACTGTGTTTCCTTCATGGACTTGACTTACCTGTGCTATAACAGACTGTCTTTCTATTGGTCTTTCCAAATTCCCAGGGTCTTAGGAAAGCAATGAGAAAAGCAAGGCAGCTAATAAATACCCTGGTTTTTATTATGCTTTCAGATCTCACCATGGTCTTTAGGCTCTGAATTCAATTCCTCATCATTTCATATTCATCTTTTGGTTAAGCAGCAAGATTTAATTATTAAAACATTTTCAGGATTAAGGTTTGTGGTAAGCATAGATCTGTTTTTTTTCAGGCTTTTCAGATAATTGACAATAGAAAGCTATATTTCTTTACTTAGTTTAAATCCTCCTCTTCTACCTGGTATTGAAAATGAGTTTTATAGACATTTAGCTGTACTTAGTCATGATTTCTGTTGTCATATTGAAATAAGGAAAAGAAATCTGTTTAGTTTATCCACTGGAGAAAATAGAGACATATGGTTTCAGTTCATACGTAATCTGTGAAGAAAAAAATAGCCCTGCTGGGCTGGCATACATGAACTTAATTGTAGCAATTAACTGTACAGTTTTCCCAGAACAGAAATAACTACATAGCTCTACTTACTGTACCCAAATGTAGTACTAGCTGGTTAACTGAGAACACAATCAGCTACAACTGTCTTTTAAGATCTTGTTTTCAGGGAGTTCTTGCTGTAGATATAACAGGTGGGTGAATTATTGTAGTTAGCAACTCCAAGGAGGATAGACAGTTAGCCTCTTACAGAAAATAACAAAATCTTTATCCCAGGACTCCGTTTTAAAATCTCAAACCTTGTTTGCTTTTCCTTTTGCTCAGATCCAAACAACAAATTCAACTCTTAGATTCTATAGATTTTCAGCATTTGTATTCTAGTACTTTGTGTGCCTATCTACAGCTGATTATTCTCACTACACCTGTTTGCAGACACTATCTGGCTAGATGTACACAAATGGTAATGTTCATGAGTGACAATAGAGTTTCCTGGGTGGAAGTTTACCTGGAAAGTTGTCAGAGTCAGCCAGAGCACAGTTGACCTTAAAGCTATAAAGGTCCACATTTTGAACACACAGGCAAGTCACCCACTTTGCTTCCTCAAACCTACTTATGCTCATACTTTGTGACATTTGGCATTAACTGAGTTTTAGAGTCTGCAACATTAAGTATATTACATCAATGAAAAACACATACGTATATAAAAGGAAAGACAAATACGGTCTGTCCATAAGGCATATTGGAAAAAAAAAAACAAAACAAGAAAATAACCTTAGTTTGTTCATTTAGGTAAGTTGAATGAGGTATGGAATGTGTGCCCAGTGGTCTTTCTCAGCATCCAAGACACTGGGGGAAAGGTAAGTGGTACTCATTTGATCTGTGCCCCTAGGCTAGGAGATTCAGAAGAAATATACAAGAAGGAGGGATTTTGTATCTTCTTCCATTCTGAGACCTACAATAGAGTAAATGAACTTTTGTGCTATATTCAGTTTCAGCCTGGAAGGCTTGACAGGAGGAGCTGGTGTTGGAAACAAGCCATCCTCATCTCTAGACGTGAACTCTACAAACTCCAAAGATCTTAGACATCCTTTCAGTAGTAAGGAACGGAGAGACTCTTTAGTGTCACTATCAGAAGAGCATCTGGAGTCAGAACGGAGACAGTGTCATAGGATGTTTGGTCAACAGGTAAGGTAATAGGTATATAGGCGGGATATTTCCCCAATACGATCCCATATTAGGAACATAGAAGACAAGGGTTTTATTAGTTATAAAGCTAGAACTATGATTACTTACCTATTAAATAATGTGTTCAAATGTAGCACCAATGTGAGTTTTTGGTTTGCTTGAAAGATCCTCACTATATAGCCCAGGCTGGCCTTGAACTCACAGAGATCTGCCTCTCAAGTGCTAGGACTATAGGTGTGTGCCATTGCACCAGTGCATTTTTACCATTAAATGTGATTCAAAATACCTTTAATCTGCACAGATTTAAATATTCCATCAAAGTAAACATTTTAGAATTGGTAAATTATCCAGGACATATGTTTTCATTTATCTTCTCTATAGTGTTCTTTTACCAGCTCAGTAATAAATTGAGCCTTGAAGTATATTACATATCATTATTAAATTTTCAATTTGTAAACACATCCCTAGGTTGTCTTTCCTAGAAAAGACATACACTTTGTCTTACCTATACTATCCAGGAGATGACTGTTGATTCCCTTTGCTCCCTTTTTCCTTTTCTCCCCCAACCCCGCCTTCTTTATTGCTACTGTACCTTGGGTTTCATGGGTAGAGGCCAGAGCTCTGCCACTGATCTGTATTGTCAGCCCAGTGCTCTCTGCTTTCCCTGCTGTGGTTCTGTAGAGAACATCCACCCTCTGTTGCCCTCCCTTTCTCACTTCCTCATCCTTTCTTAGTTTTCACTGCTACCACTCTCTTGAAACTCTTGTCTTAATGGTTTACCTGCCTTGCCAGTCAATTGAAGTGGCTTTTTCTTAGTTCTCATCTTTTCTGGCCTCCCACTATCACTTACCAGCTTTACTAATCCCTGAGGTAGTTTTGCATTGAGTTTGAATTGCATGCTTTTGTAGCAGCCTTACCAATCTTCCTTTTGGGAGGTATGTAAGACTGATATTTCTTCCTGACTTTGAATTAATTCCTAGAAGGATTTTGAGGTAACTTAAAGTTCCTCCAAATGAAACTTTTTTTATTTAACAGAAGAGTAAAACACTTATTATTGAATAGGTGATTTTGGAGTTTGGATAGAAATCCAGTGGTGCATTTCTATTGAAACAAAGATTTGATGGTTGGGTTTTGTATACAATTTCTTTCTTGTAGTATATTACACGCCAGTGACATAACCAAATAAAAATGTGGCACTAAGCAATTATCAGAGTTAATAAATCATTTATGCTCTTGGCCTAAAAGACATTAAGCTTAATGAAAATGAAAATTGAATGTCCCAAGGAACTTTGCCACATTAAAAAAAAATTCTGCTTGTCTTACAACATTAGAAAAAGTTACACAATCTGTTTGTGATTGTGCACATCTGGTAATCCTAGCACTTGAAGGTAAAGGCAGTAAGATTGTGAGTTCCATGCTAGGCTGGCTACACAGTGTCACACTGTGCTGAACCAAAAATGGGGTGGGAGGACCTATTGAGTGTTTATTCAGCCTAATGGGAACAGATTTTTTTAAAAAAAGAACCAGAACCGGTTTTTAGGTAGCTAGCTACTGAATACAGCTTTAGTAAGGGTAAATTAAACCTATAAAAAAACTCTCGAAAGTAAATTGCATTTCAAGAAGCATATAGAATTCTTTAGAAATAGATAAAATTATAAGTTTGTGAATAGAATTATAGACTTGGTACCAGGGAATCCCTTTAGGTTCCTCTCAAGTACTTAAGTGTGAGAGCTTCAGGCCCCTATAAATGAGTTGTCTAATGACACATAATGATTAGTTAAACTCAGAATCCTGGCTGCTGGTCTCACTACTTCTTTCTCTGACTTTAAAGTAGACAAGTTGTAATGAGAATCTTTAATTTTCTTAATAATATTTGTGTGAGACCTTTTCTGAGACTGATATTTCCAGAAATTTGTCAGGCGACCCTCTCTTTTAGTAAGTATTATTTACTACTAATATCTTTCTGATTTAATCTTTCTAGATAAAATCACATTTCTAGGTATATATCAATGTTACAGTGCTGTACTATGCATAACTTTCTGGGAACTCTTTCCTTACCCATATTTCATCTTATATACAACCTCAGAGTGGGTGTTTGTGCTGCATATATCTGTCTGATCTAGACAAGTTGCCTGCAGCCAACTTCCTGTTGAAAGTCTGCTCTGAGGTCATTTTTTCAGACCTCACAGTTGTATTTGAAACATAGCAACTGTTTGCCTCAGATTCCATGGTTACACATGAAACAAGCACTAAGTAATCAGAAATCTTTGGCCCAGCTGAGTTAGTGCATGCTAGGAGTAGATTTTCATTGCTTCTCTTCCAACAAGTTTGAGGCATAAAGAGACAGATTTCATCCTGTGAGGTGAAAGGACCAATGATAATATCAAATGAACTCTCTTAAAACAAAGGAGGGGAGGAGCCCCTTTTTGCCAGAGGTGGCAATGATTTTTTTCAGGGATGTTTAACGGGAGTTTCAGCATTTGTTTTGGTTATATGGTATTAAAACTCATGTGGATTTAAATTACCAAATTACCAGTAACTATGCTGAGAAAGTTAAGTTACTAAATTACAGTTATTCTTGTGTTGATGTAAAATCGAGGAGGAACTGAAAAATTTATCCTCCTTTACAGATGTGCTACTGTTTTGCTAATGCTCTTGAAATACTTTCTACCTGCATCAGACTCTTAACAGTATATCCTACTATTTCTCTATGACGATGTTGATTTTTTTCGAAGAGTTGGTACCCTGGATAGTCTGTTACTTACAATTAAATTATTTTTAAGAGATTACATGTCCAACAGACTTTATTAAGCAATTACTAAATTTGAAAACATTGTTAAATACTTTTAAGTGATGTAAAACCAGTATGAGTGAGTACTTTATCTCTGTTTCAAATGAAAAACTAAAACCCACAAAAAGCTGAGTAACTTTTCAATAGAAGTTGAGTGACTGGTATATGGCAGAGGCAAACTAGATTCCAGTCTTCCTTCATTGGTTGAGTGATAGTGTAAATTTTATGCTTATCTGTAAATATTTGTACTTAGAACCATTCTTCACATTTTTACTTCATAGACATATCATCGCTCTAAACAACAGGGATTTAATTACTGTACATCAGCCATTTCTTCTCCATTGACAAAATCCATCTCATTAATGACAATCAGCCATCCTGGATTGGACAGTGAGTATACTACCTTAAGAACTTAAATATATCTTAAACACTTTCCTATCATTTTTCTTCTTTAGAGTCTTATTAACTTCCAAAATTTGTCCCCTTCGTTTTTTGAATAAAGGACTTAGTACTGAAACAGAAATGGTAATGAAGAGGTCAGCTTTCAGCTCTTTCTCCTTTTGCTAACTAAAAATCTCCTTAATACATTCATTATTCTTGATTATAAATGTGACAAAATTTTAAAAGCTTTTTTGAAATAATTTAAGATTAAAAATGGGTACAAATGACTCTGAACTGGAAAAATATGTTGCAAAAATAGTATAAAAATGTTTATGTATTCTTCATTTGGATCTCCAAACGTTACTGTAATTCTTATTTTGCCTGCTCACTCCCCTTATCACTACCCTTAACCTGAGAGTAGGTTATAGATACTCAATATTCCTTTACCTCTAAATAGTTCAGTATACATTTCTTAAAAGCAAAGATAATCTGTCTTATATTAACATAATATAGTTATGTGAATCAAGAAATTAATATTGATCAAATTGATCTAATATAGACCTCACTTCTTCCTGTGCCTAAGATCCTATCCAGGAGCAGATGTTGGAATGAGTCGTCATGTCTCAGGCTACTTAAATCTGCAAATATTTCTCTATTGATGTTTGTCTCTCAATTACTCGCAGAGGAAAACCTAGCAACATCACAGGCCTGAGCACTTCAAAACTGTCAAGCTCAGGAGACAAGAGTTGAAATACATTTTTATTTAAGCAATTTCCAGAAGTATCTATTCTGAAAATTACTATTAAGACTGTGTGCCTACTCAGATAAATTGGCTTTTAAGGGTATATAGAGATGGGACCTCTCTAAATGCAAGGCATGTATGAATAGAAGATGTTTAAAGACATTAATTGTGTAAATGTTTGGTGCTAACTTGTTCCTTAAGAAACCTCAGTTTTAAAATGGATTTTTTGTTTTAGTGAGGAACCACAATATGAGATCATGATACAGAGATCAAATGCGAGAGGGAGCAATACGCATGCTCTTTGCTATAAGACCAGGTATTCTAAAAACAGGCAAAAAATGAACACATGCCTAGTATCTGTGGTATTTCTTCAGTGTCACTTTAAAGTTTAACTCAAAAGAACTGTAGAGTAAAGTAGCTGCCATGCATTAAATCATTTATTCTTTCTCACTTCCTGGCTGATTGTAGGTCCAGCGAATGTTAATGTAAAGGATGAGTCTCTTAAATTTGTCTTACTTTTCATTTGATTAGCATTTCAAGTACAAATTTGTACTTAATGATGATGTGTTCTCAGAGATACAGATAAAATCTCACAAAATAGCTCTTCTGTTTGTTTTTCTTTGAGTTTTAAATTTAGCTTAGGTTGAGAAGTATTGCTGGTATAGAATGGAAATAATAACTGAAGAGTTGTAGTGGATTTGATGAGCCAGAGTGCTGGAGCCCATAACCCAGAAAAAGGAAAGCAGAGCACCCAAGTAAGGCAAATTGTTTCTGTATACCCTCCGTCCAGAACCAGCAAGTGTTGCGGCACAATGGAGATCCCATGGTGGCAGAGGTGATTCCAAGAGAATGCATCCCATAGAGAGATCATTTTCCAGTGTTATATGACACAGTCTCTTGTGTATGAGACACTTCATTATTTTTCAATCATAGAATAAGGTTTTTTTCATTTATTTTTTACCATTTTTAGTTTTTACTCAAAAAAATATAAATAATGTGGCTAACTCCCCAAAAATCATGTCCTAGAGGTTCTGGCACATTCAGCTTTCTTCCTTTTGGTAGGAAATTTCTCAGCTTACTGAGAAGACCTGAAATTGAGCAGACTACTTGCAGGAGTAGTGCTTGCCCTGGGCTAGAGAGATGGCTCGGAGGTTAAGAGCACTTGCTGCTCAACCATGAGAACCTGAATTTGGACCAGCATCCATATAATAAGCTAGGCATGGTCTCATAATCTTCTGTGACCCTAGAGGATGGGTTGTTGAGACATGAGCACTGGTCTTTGCATGCCAGCCTAGCGAAGAAACGAGCTTCATGTTCAGGGAGAAACCCTGCCTCAAAGCAATAAGGCAGAGAATGATAGAGGAAAATGCCCAACTCCCTGTTCTGGCTTCTTTGCATGTACTCACACTCCAGCTCATACACAGATGGGCATGCAACACACACACGCACACATGTAGGTAGCACTTTAAAAAAAATTTTTTTTATTTTATGTGTATGTGTGTATTGCCTGCATGTAGGTAAGTGCACCCATGTTGTGCAGTGCCCACGGAGGGCAGAAGAGGCTGTCAGATCCCCTGGAACAGACAGTTTTTAGCTGCCATGTGGGTGCTGGGATTCGAACCTGGGTCTTCTGCAAGAACAGTCAGTGTTCTTAACTGCTGAGCCATCTCTCCAGCCCCTCATAACACTTTTTTTTTTTTTAATGGGGGATTAGGCCTATATCTCAGCAGTAAAGTTCAGCTCTTGATATCATGCATGAGGTTCAATCCCCTGCACTGCAAGAAAAAAATTTAGGGATAGATCTATCTTCAAGTGAGAACTTAATCCTTTCACCAGCATGGAATATCCCCATTCTGATTTATAGTGAACATTTGATACAAGTTTGAGTAACCAGCCCCACATACTTCTCTTAGTTTGTATATATTATAGTTGAAATATTAATGACAGTTCACTATTTCCCCCTTTGCCTTTCTCATACATAACTTGTTTATTTCTCACCATATTTCTTATTATTTCTAAAAACATGATAAGTCTTTTTGGAAACACTAAAAATTTTAAGTGTTAAGATATGATCAGTGCTTGGGCTAGAGTCCACATGGTATGCCATGAGCATTGGGATAATTGAATGTTTCATAAACTCCTTTAGACTCTGATCTCCAGTTCTAGATTTCTTAAGTAGTCTTCATGAAAGCCAGTCATGGTGGCAAAGGTCTGTAATCTCAGTACTCAGGATAACCTGGGCTACCCTAGGCTGCCTAGGAGACAGGAGGTGGCAGGGGCTCTCCATTATTCATCTATCTACTTTTCTCATCGTTGGAACCAAATATCTGATAACACACCCCCCCCCCTCAACTTTTTTGTTTAATTTATTTTGGCTCGTAGTTTCAGAGGCCTCAATCCACGGTAATTTGGCCCCGTTCACTTGGGCCAAACATTGTAGCTTTTGGCATAGGAGAGTTTCTTCATGGTAGACAGGAAGCAGAGGGAAAGAGAATGCTGATGCTTTGCTAGATTTCTACCTTTTCCCCTTTTGTTTGATCTTGTACCTCAGCCCAGGGGATGGTGCTGCCTTTATTCACTTTAAGTCTGTCTCTCGGGTAAGCTTCAGACACTCCCAAAGGTGTACCACAGCAATTTCCTGGGGATTCTAAATCTAGTCAAGTTGACAAGATCAACACCACAGTCTTCCTAGCTGACCTTGAACTCTTTATGTAGCTGAGGATGAACTGGAACTCTTGATCTTCCTGCTCCATCTTCCAAGTTCTAGGATTATGGACTTGCACCCTCTCACCCAGTTGCCAACTAATTTTTCTTAAAATATTTTAGCTGATTACATAAGAACACATAATGGTGGTATGACTTGAAACCTGAAACCCTTTGCCTCAATCGCTTTGCCTGTTAAGTAGGAATAATATGGTATGACTTAAATGTAAATTTATTTAAAGTCATTAGCATATATCCTGTTGTGTAATGACCACTTATGGAGTGCTATAGTTCTTGGTGATCCCAAGTAGCTCCAAAGCCTCTTTCTTTTCTGACCAGAATTTAAGCAGTTGTTACAGAAACAAGAACATTGCCCCTCGGGGTCTTATCTGATAAAGACTTAAATTCCAGTATACTGTGAAACAATTTTTCACCTGGAATATATTATTCGTGTATTGTAGATGTGAGATCATTAAATATAAGTAATATATATTCCTACACATACAAGATGAACTAAGATTATGAGGTGAGGACATATAATATATATGCAACCTGGAAATCAAAATAAGCAATCATTTGGTACATATATAAAAATGCCTCTTATCACATGAGCAATGTGTATGTTATTAACAACATTATGTTGGGAGAAGGTAGCTTTGACAAACATGTTATTAGAAAGGACAAAAATTTAGGTAAATAGACTGTGATGATCTTTTAATTATATAAAAATATACATATATATTCTTTGTATATAGTAGATAAATATGTATGTACTTTACATACCCAAAAAACTGAGTCACTGTGTTTACCAGAGCTTTTCATACATTGAAGATTTCCAAATGTGGTAGGGATTCTGTTTAGATAGTCATGTAATAAGAATTTTCCTTGTGATTCCCAAATTATTTAACATAAGTGGGATATTCTTAGATTCTAGATCATAAGGTAGCTCTATTTCATTTCCAAAATATACATCATAATTATACATATCGTAGAACACAAATTATAGTAACACTTTTATATTTAGGCAAGACCTTCACTGACAGATAACATATATTTGTGCTGATATTTTTTTATTGCAACTATTTGCAGTGGCTAGAGACAATAGACAGCCTAACGTTGCTTAGCATTTCTCTGTGATGCCGAATAGCTTTCATATTTGGGTGCCTACTCTTTACTGTGTACCAAACTAGACAATGGTAGGAGATGGTGAACTTACTGATAGGGTTTCTTTCCTGACTATATTTACAACTTACAAACAAGAACAAGTTGGCTCTAATAGAATACAACACAACCAAAAGAGATATTCAGTGTTTTGTATTAGACCTCAGGGATTAGAGAAAGTTTACTAAAAAGAATATCAAAGTTTAGACTAAAAGAAATTAGGAATTAGATGGGTCACTTAGTATGTGGAAATCTAAATTGAAGAATTAGGGCTTCTTTCTGAAGGCAGTAGAATCCAACATTTCAGACCAACCAGAATGGAAGTGGTGTTGGGAAGGAAAATCTTGGGGGTCTGTAGGCTTTTGTAGGATTCACATGATGAATGGTTCCAAATAGAGACTTCAGAAGAGAAGTTAAAGTTCAGAGGGATCTGAAGACAATATCAAGAGGCCCAAGTGAGTTACGCTGTAAGGATTCAAGATCATGCCCGGGTCTCTACTTCGAGTAATTAGGTAGGCCTTAGATACTACTTGACTGCTGAAGAAATAGAGGAGGAGCAAGGCCACAGGAAAAGAAGTGTTAGCTTCTATATTTGCTGTGTTTCAGCTGCATGTGGGTATACCCACAGGTGAACAGGGAGATACATGAGTCTAGTCCTGAAAGGAAAGCTCTGCCTTAAAAATTAGAAAGGAGGCTCCAGTATATTGTGAACATATCATCTGTGGAGTAAGATTTGGGATGGGTGGGAAGAGTGGTAAACACAAAACCTTGAGGAATATCACTACTGAATGTTTTCTATATACTTTTGAGAAAGAAAATTCAAGCTATGACAATTAAAAATAGCTTACTTATTTTCATAATTAAGTACATAATTGTTAGCTGATTTTTTTAGACTGTTAGAATTATGTATATTCACAAATTAATACATGAATAAATTACATTGTTAATTTAGATAGCCCTTCTGGAATCTCATAGGCCAATTACATTCCCTCCCCCTTTGAGGTGAGGGTGCCTTTTACTTTGTCCTGGCATAATCTGTGCATGCTCTAATATCTTTCTGTAACCTACTTCTCAGCTCAGCAGCAGGCGCAGCCAGCAAGGCGAATCTCCTTCTCCATCAACATTTCTCCAGTCCTCCTTAAATCTAAAACTCTCTTTTCTTTTGGCTCTTCTTACTCCAGTGATGAGGAGGAAGAGTTGCATAGTAAGTAAGCACAGCTGGTGTCTAGTGGCTGTTCAGGGTCTGATCAGCTCTGAAAATGCTATAGGTTTGTTACTAAAAAATTAAATTGTTTGAGGACTTTTATCCTCTTACATGCTGTCTTTTATAAATCACTTGACTTCATGCATGCCTTTGCAAATTGATTTTGATTAAGCACTTTTTGTCATCTGTAACTACTAACATTGATTGGTTTGATGACCACCTGATTCCAGGACAAAAGGTATCTTTCTAGAACACAATTCAAAGTCAAAGAAATTGATGTCCTCTCATTCCATTTTGTACAAAGTACTGAGTATTAATTTTACAAAACTTTCCGTTTGACAACATCAGTTTCCGTTTCCATGATCCTTTTTTTTTTTTTTTTCTGTGTTCTGGGATAGATAACTAGTTATCAATATCTAAAAGCTAATGTTTCCCAGTTTTTTTTTTCAATCTTTTCCTGCAATTTAAAAACAAAAACTTTGAGATTAGATCCTATAGATAAGAGGGTGAGAGTTATATATTTTCTATTTTTGGAACTTTTTATCGTATGCCACATTCCCTTCAGTAAGTTACAGGCTTTATATTAATAGATTCTTGATAATACATACCTATTAGGAAAACATTTGGAAGACTCAAGTCTTTTTTTTTTTTAATGTATGAGTGTATTACCTGCATGTACGTTAAGTACACCCATGTTGTGCAGTGCCCTCAGGGGACAGAATAGGGTGTTGAATCCCCTGGAACTGTAGTTAGGATGGTTGTTAGCCACCATGAGGGTGCTGGGAATCAAACCTGGGTCCTCCCAAGAACAGCCAGAGCTTTTAAGGACTGAGCCATCTCTCCAGCCCAGGACTCAGACTTCTTAATCAACTTAAAAAGGAGTTAAATCTTCTCAGAAGTCCTTGACTTCAATTTTGTGATACTTCTAGAGTTCTGGTAGATGCATTTTTAGTGGAAAAATATTTCTATTATAAAGTAATGAATTGTTTCAGATAACTAATATTATGAATTTGAAACATCCATATGATTGTGCACTCTTCATTCCCTTCCACTCACTGACTCAAAGTAACAGCAGTGTGTATTACTGTGACATTGTGACTACCATTTTGCATTTTTTTAATGGAAAGTGCCTTTGGCAGAGTAACAGTTTAATTTTAAATGGCAGCTTTATTGACATTCAGCATATTTTTTCACTATTGAAAGATATTTGACAAAGAAGTACCATAAGATACTTACATTATACCCATTGTAATAGGAGGAAAAGTGCAATAATCCACTTGAACTTTGAGTGTTCAGAAGTTCTCAAATCTCCGTGATCTAAAACGTTGATAGTACTATAGGAAATAGTTTACTGCAACAAACCAAAGTCTCGGTAGTAATTCTTTACCACCAATAACAAATTATAATCCCAGAACCGTACTGATGTCAGCTAATCTGACATGATTGAATCCTAAAAGTATAGAAGAATCTTTGTCTAGCATTTCTCAAACTGTGTTCCTTAACTCAAAACACGAGTGAGAATAATGGTGGAAGGGGTTAGTCAAATACTCTAGGGAGCTTGGAGACAGTAAGCAGCTTTAAAATACTAATGTGATACACTGTGAAGTTCCAAGGCAGTGTGTGATATACTGTGCTTCCCAAACTTACTAATTTGGAAGCCATAATAATGTGTAAGATCATCTATGTTTCATAAGAATATTGTTTCAGGGCTGGAGAGATGGCTTAGCGGTTAAGAACACTGGTTTTCTTGCAGAAGACCTGCATTCGAACCCCAGAACCCACATGGTAGCTAACAACTGTCCATAACTCCAGTTCCAGGGGACCCGATGGCTTCTTCTTTCCTTCGCAGTCATTGCATGACATGGTTGCATTTACCTACATGCAGGCGATACACTCATACACATAAAATTGAAATAATAAATAAAATATTTTTTAAAAAGAATATTGTTCCATAGAGCACATTAAAAAAAAAACAAAAAAAAAACTTAGACCATGCCTGTCCAATAGTTGTAGCCTAAAATTCTTGGGTTTGTAGTATCATAGGTCTGCATGTTATTTTGTATCTCAAAATAAAAATCTGATTGAAATTATCTGTAATTACATTTTTTATTTTGTTTTATTTTTTGAGACAGGCAGGGCCTCCTAGTAGCCCCAGCTGGCCTGGAACTTGGTATGTAGACCAGGCTAGCCTCGATCTCATAGCAGTTCACCTGCCTCTGCCTCCCAAGCCCTGGGCTTAAAGGTATGCACCACCATGACCTCTTTGAGATAGGGTGCCCCTTGCAGTAATATTTTATGGGCTAATGACAAGGTGATTTTCTTCTGTTTGTAATTTTGTAGTGGAAAAGGCTGGTGCTCTTTTGTACTCTTAGATGCTCTGTACACTTCAGGAATTTCAGAGGCACTGATTTTAGTGGCATGTGAATTAATCCATTTTTCAGAACCACATCTAAGAGGTCATGGTAACTGAAATAGATTCTTTTTTAGCATTAAAAAGTATTGGAAACTTTAGGTGTCATAGATTCTTGCAGATATGATCATATAGTTCTTTAGTTTTGATTTTTTCCACAAAAATATACTGGTACTTTTTCCTTGGCTAGGCTTTGTGCTGGGTATTTTTATGCAGTATGAATTTGACTTTTATTTTGTTAATTTTACTAGCATGGTAACTTAGTGAATTAAATGTTCAGTAGAATCCTGGCAGCCTGGGAGAACTTAATACTGCTTATATCATTGAAGGCCCTTAGGTAGAAACCGTTTTAAAGCCATTATTTTAAGTCACTCTCTTGATTTTTGTTGTTTTTTTTTTTTTTTCAATCCAAACAGTAGACTATTTAAGTTACTTAGTAATGACTACACTTCTGCATTTCTTTTCAGAACCTAGAACAAATTTGAGGTTAAGAGAGTTTAAAATGCCAGTAACGTGGCTGTAGAGCATCTTCAAATCTCTATAAACTCATGTTTTACTTGTAGTAACCTCAATGATTCTTGAGACTAAACTCAAAGAAAGAATGTATTTTTTTCACATCATAACAGTATTTAAGTATTAGCTGTAACTAATCACACTAAAAATTGTAAGCCGTTCTCCGTTTTATGATTGAGGCTTGCTTTCTTCTAAATGCTCAGTAGTATCTTGTCTTTTTTAATAGTATTTCTTATTTTTCCCCTTATTAATATATTCCATGTCAAAATAATTGTATTGTTCCCTCCTGTTTTCTCTGCTTGCTACCTCACTTATGATTGGTTCCATTTCTGTCAGGAGAAGGAAGATTCTGTCTGCCCCATTCCATTTTATTATTGTCATCATTGAAAAAGATCTAAGAATCTGGTTCTCCCAGATTTCACAGATGCGGGCCTGATCTGCTGATGTCTTATACTAGTGGCAGGACCAGGACTTCATAAGCCAGCACCTCTTTGTTACTTCCTGTTCACTAATCCATTACCAGGAATTCTCAGGATGTTAGAAGATAATATTTGGTTTTCAGTATGGAAATTATGTAGACAGGATTAGTAGTGGAAAAAAAAACATTCACTTTCTTATTTTATGTTCTTCCTGTGACCTCAGAAAGATCGCCTATGGAAACTGAACATTGATAAGAACAAAAACTAAATATACTTCCTGTTTAAGCATTAGAAAATAATGTTTTAAGTTACCAAAATCCTGGATTAAACATACTTTTTTATTGCAAAATTCACTCCCTGTTGCTGCCTATTTCCATTTCTAATTTGAAGATTTCAAGTTTGATTTCTCCTCCTCCTAAACTGTTTGAAGGAAGAGGAACCATACAGTATCTTTCAAAGATTCCCTGCTTTTTAGCTGTGACCTAAATTTTAGTTTGCCTGTCATCAGAATAAAATCAAATTTTTGTGCTAACTTTTCCTCTACTTTTGTTTTCTAGATTCACAGCCCTTCCACAATACCAATGTTAATCTGACGGAGAGGTACAGTGTATTTATTTTCTTATTTCTTTTCCCAAAACGAAATGGGGATAATCCAAACTAAATATACTAAGTAATTTGAGCTCACTAGGTTCTGACTTCCTTGGATGACAAGTTGGAATAAGTAGAAATTGTTTTATAATGAAGACTGTATCTTTTTAAATATTCACAATAGTTTTATATTCTTTTTCTTTATGTTGCCCTCATCCAAAAATTATTTGCATTTATTCATATAAAAGTATACTTACATTTGACATTATGAATTTATACATACTTTGCTTGTATGTATAAGCAAATTTATTTACATTCTTAAATAAATCAAAATACATTGTTTTGTTCTTACCACAAAATACAATGTGTATGTTGCATGTGTGAATTTGTGTAGTGCTGCTACCTTGTTAGTCTCTTTAACCTTTAAAGCTGTTATCAGTGGTATAGCTTAGTGGCAGAACACTTCCTTAGCGTGCATAAGGCTCTGAGTTCTGTCCCTACTGCAGAAAGAAAGGCTACATGTGGTATATACCTCTGTCCAAGTAGAAATGATACTGTCTTTTCTCTCCCCTCCCATTTTCTTTTTTTCTGATGTTGGGGAACAAACCCAGGGTCTTATGTTTGGTAGGTAACTCTGCATTTCCATTGAACTTCATCCCAACCCGAACTGATTCTTTACCTGACAGCCTACTAACTCATTTATATTTCTCTGTTAATGCCTGTGAAGTTAAATACAATGTAGGCATAACTGGGTTCTCATTGTTGCCCTGAAGATGTTTTAAGTTGCCCTGCTTACCACAAAGACATCAGTTGTGATTCAGTGATCCACAACCCTTTCAATGAGTGTTTCTTTTTACATTACTTCCTAACCTTTTTCTTTTTGTAGAGCAGCGGTTTTTATACCAGTTCCCCTTTCTCTTAAAAAAGGACTGCTCTGATTTTTAAACATCACATGTAGAAGTATAGCTGTTGCAGCAATCCTCTTAGGATTCTGCTTGTGCCTGAGCTCTCAAAAAGGAAAACACTGTTGCTCTATGCTATGGTTCTAAAATGACTTGTAAAATTCCCAAGCAAAGAATTACAAATTGGATTCTTTTTCTACATAATGAAGTATTTAAGTGCCCAGTATGCTTTTATGTGGTGGTGGTGGTTCTTTT